TGAGGTTTAAAAGTGATACACATCCCACAAATTATTTTTACTACGTAGTATTCTGTTTCATTAAAATTGATTTTTATTCATTTAAAGATATACTTCACATGTGAAATGCTGATTTATAAAGAATAATGAACATAAAATCACTGCTGATAAATGTCTCTCAAGTTTTACCATTTGCATTTATTTTTATTTATTCAAACTTTCAAAACCTAACCTATCCATGCATTAGATACCAGAATGTTTGTTTATAATGATATTTTACGTTAAGTTACCCCAAATGAAAAAAATTTAGCTGAACAGAAATGTAAATGGAATCGTAAATACACAGTAAAATTTAGGCTTAAAGTTCTTTTTTCTTAACTATTGCTAATGAGCTGAAAAGGGAATTCCTTTTCTTTTCCAAATTAGGAATGATAAAGTACCATGTCTAGGATTAATTTTAGTTTCTGTTGAACGGTATTTAAACTGCACTGGCTTACATGTGAAAAATAAATTAAAAGGTTTTTCTCACAGTCGCTAGTTCTAATTTATGTATGCTTTGATATTATTGATTTTAATTTTCCCTTCAAATTACATGAGACGCATCATAAAAAATATTACAACCTGTTAGATATACTTTATCAATTAGGCTAGATTATTTTTCCAATTGGCAAAATATTTATCATATAAAAGCATTAGCTCAACAAATGCACTTTTAAAATGAGTGGGAGAAAACAGAATTTCTTTTGTATGTTTCTAGTAGGTTTTACTGTATCTGAAAAATATCATTAGTTGTGAAACATCAATTAACCAAACAGTAAATTTATGGAAATGAAATGGCCATTAATTAGAAAAGAATTTCATATATGAGATAAATACGTAGATATATTATCTATGAAGAAAACTGTACGTGTATATTTATGTGCATTAAATAGAAGTCGTATTAAAAAACTTTAGGTGTATTTTATGGCTTTTGTTTTCCTTAAAAGTTACTTAAAATTTTTTAACAGTATCTCTATTCCTGAAATTTGCTTAATTATTTAATCATTCAGCATATTATATTAAATATTTCGAATATTTTAGAGAAAAATTATATTTGTATGACTTGATTCAAATGATAACTAATTTATATTTTTACTACTTAAAATAAAATTTCTTTCTATTTTTCATCACAGTCATTGATTTAACATAAAATTATCTAATATTAAGTTCCTGCAACACATATGTTTAGAACATTTATATACTTAATGAACAAACTTTAGTTTCTTATTTTAGCTTATCACATGTACTAAAGTGTAAGTACATGCATGGACAAAATTTGTAGATTTTATGAAGTATGAGCGAATAAACGGAGTGGTAGATTTAGTAAAAACGTCGTTATTTTACACAGTTTTTTTGTCAAAAATGCAAGCTAATATACAGTTAAAGGTACGAGAAATTCACCTGAAGTTTTACCAAAACTATACGCAAAATAAAAGAAATGGGGAAAATTAGCGTAAATTTCTGCGAAAAGTAAACGTTTATATTAAGTAAAAAACTACTCTAATTTACGTAAATTTTTACTAAAATTTACTAAATAAAAATAACTGGGAAGATTTACGGATATACAATAAATATACATAAATACGTAAAATATTGACATTTACGTGTATTATACGTAAAAGCTACGAATAAAGCAGTATCTTTCGCATGAGTATTTATAGATGTTATGTATAACTTACGTGTATTGTAATGTAAAAATATGTGCAAAATCTATTATTTTTTCCCGGAAAAATTTCATGATATTTTTACCTTCAAGTTTTATGTTTTTTATACGAAAGGCCATTCTAAAATTTCACGAATTTTTAGCATGCAGTTGATGAATGCATGCCGCTTGGATTCCTTTTCTAATATACAATAGCGACAAAAATAAACGAATGAAATATGACGAAAATAATATTTTCAATTCTTCATTCTTAGCAATGAAATGATACAAAATTTATCTCACAAAATATGTTAGATTTACGTGAGCAAAAAAGACTGTAGTTAAACATCCGTTTGGATAAAGGTCATCCTCCTTTAGAAGTAGCAAAATAATTAGAAGGAAACACGCTTCGATTTGAAAAATCGCAGAGCCTTTCGGATGGCACTATTAACCCTTCGGCGATTGCGAGATTAAGCAATTTTTTCTTCCCAAATAGGCGCTATGTCTGTCAGCCGTATATTTGTAATGCGCGCTGTGTTCGTTTGGGCGGCACACTACGGCGCGTAACTGGAATGCAAGCAGAGCTCGTTGACGACCATCAAAATATTAACAGGTAGTTTAATGCATATGCTTAAACAGCACTAACATATGTTTAAACAACCTTTGTACCGCTATATGTAGGTAATTTCTGTTAACTCTGGTAAATGTACACAAATAAGTATAGTGTTACATGTTAGCTACTCGGTTACCGGTAGTGGCCTAGTATATGCTAATGACAGTAATACCGTATTTACGGGCTTATGTTTCTCGCTTTTTACTAATTGTATCTTATGAAAATCGATAGGAAAAAGTTATGTAAATAATTTAATATTCGAAGGACGTAGAGTAAGAGCATAAGAAATGGAAAGTACTTATGGATAAAATACCAGTAACTATCATAATATTATTTATTTAAAAGAAACCTGGATTCCAATAGGAATGCACAGTAATAATTAACATTACCAACATCTAATAAGATATATTTATGTCTACTTCCTGTTTCTTGAATCTATCCCGTTCTTTTGTATCTTTCACTGTTATACTTTCTAGGTCTCACATCATTTGATGCTGCTGAAACTGCCGTCTGTGTGGTCTGCTACCGCTTGAAAGTCGTTGCTATCGTCATCATTGTCATTGCTTTTCTTCACCATTCAGTCTGTCTTTTCACGTGCAATGATCTTCAATACCATCATGAGCATTAGACACATCGTCTTCTTGAAGCTTTTCACTATTATTATTTCATTAGTCACAGCCCATGCACCAAAAACCCAAAAGCAAATCAATTACTAAAGCGAAAAAAATTACTCCGCGTACTAATCCCTTTTTAAATTTAGGAAAGACCATTTTCTGAGCGCTTTGAAGAAGTAAAAAAATTCGTGGATACTTAAAAAAATTTCAGAACATTGTTCTAAAACCCTAAGAAGAAAATTTCTATAAAAAAGGTTCTTGCACTGTTTAGTATATATATAAGCACTACTATTTGATAAATAAAGACCATATATTGTATAGCTAAGAAAGTGTAAGTTTCTTTAGTGGATTGTTAATTAAAGAATGTGTCACTTTGTAATTAAAGAATGTGTAATGATCACACTGTTCAGGATTATTTAAACGTAAACACCGATTTATAATAGTAACCAGATTATAGTACAATAGTATTGTCATTAGTTTTCCTTAATATGCTGTAAGTTAATCCTCATATTGCCACTCTTGTTAATGTATTTCTTAATATTATATGGGTAAGTATTTCTTTCTTTTGCTACTGAAAGGATAAGCAACTTGACAGCTCATCTAGCATTAGCAAAAGCATCAGCCTAATTATTTTTCCCTTCTTCGATGCTACGTAGCTAAATCTTTGCATGAGTGGTGTACTTACAACATAGTGTCATGTATAAGAATAGCTTTAGTGATATTTTCAAAGAAACGCATTTTTAATATATCACGATGTAGAGACATTAGGCTATTTCGAGGCCGGAGAGATGAAAAATGAGCAAACGCCCTTCGCCGGGAATCGAACCACGGACCTCTGGAATACCGGCCTAGCGTGCAGAACCACTACACCACGAAGGCTCGCTAGGAAAGTGGGAGAAATACCTTATAACGATACCGAATAATGCATGATGAAGTTCTTTAACTGTTGATGTATACTATATTTATATACTACAGTAATTGCGAAAGCACCGCCTTCGAATTGTCAGCATATTATGTATCACAATTGCGTAACTGTTTGTTCTCTGTTCAGATGGCAATTTAATTCGGCACAACTCTAGAAGCCCTTTGGATTGCGCCATGTCTAGTTTTACTGTAAGATAGTCTTTGTTATCTAAAAAGGTAATGAGTTTTTCCTTCGTTACTTTTATTTTTGTGCCTTTACGATACAATAAGTAGTACTAAATAAATCATTATATGTTGATCAGTGTGCTTCCGTTATTGTAGATAAACTTCTCAATACACTTAATGTCAATTCAGTCGTGCACTCTTGCGGACGCAGACTACAGAATTAGTCGAATTCTAATACTTATGTCACACAAAGTGCATTAAATACACCTCAAACTGCTTTAGTATAACTACTAATGCACGTTTGCATCCTTCGTCAATATGGAGGTTGTTGGGGTCTGGGGATTAGGAGAACGGACTTGGGTTCCAATTCCGGTTAATACACAAGTATTTGGTATTCTCTTCCTCTTTTGCTGATACAATCTTAAGTCTCTCTTTCTTGGTAAAGAGACGAAGTGAATAACACCCTTGAAAAACCTTCAACCGTTGAATAGAAAGAAATGCAATTTATAATACATCATGCAATGTGTATAACAAAGCAGATAGACATATATCATGTACATACGGCTGTGAAAAAAATTTTACCTGAGCGAACTCATTTAGAGTTTTTTCTTACTTACTAATTTTAGATGCTGTAAACATCGAAATATAAACAATTCAGGGCAAACTTTTGATTTTTTGTTAGAATAAGCATATCAGAAAACAAAGTATGCTTAGATCAAGGAAGTGGGTAATTAAATACTAAGTTGAATAAACTAGTTCAAATCTACGCTTGAATGAGGAATAAATAGCCTGTTAATTTAATAATAGATGTAAATACTAGCTAAAATAGCTTTTTTTTTTTTGGATTAGAATAATGCGAGATGTATTTTCTAAGAATGATTTGTATTAAAGCTTTTCTAATATTAACTCATATTAATGTTATGCTCCATAAGGTCAGCTGGTTTCACTTAATGATCCACAATCATTTGATTTGGCTAATAATAATAGTATATTATAATAACATGATTTCCAATTAAATACTCACTTCCATGTCGTTGACGAACCATCGAATATGCACAGGTATAGGTGATCTAGCTGATGAGCAATTTATGTTCACTAAGTCCCCAACATAGTAAAATTGAAGGTTCCCTTCTATAACAGGGCCTTTTTGCCCTGGAGCAGAATGAGATACTGAAAGAGAGGAACACTAAGGTAAAATATTTATTTATACAAAGTAAAGATGTTCAGTGATAATATTCAGATTTTCTTCCTTAAATACTATTTATTAAAAGCCGTTTTATTTAAATATTTGAAGATATTAAGAATTAGAGATAAAGAAAACAACAAGAGTATTTTATGTTTCACTGAAGTGTGCTGAATTTCAGAAAAACTAAAGAATGTGAATCAATTTCATTATTTGTGTTGAAAATTTTTGTGTCCATTGAAATTTGGACATTTGAATCATAATTAAATTAGAAACCAAACAAGCATTTAATGGCAGTCTATATACTAACTTACGTGCAATTCTAAAGTTACTAAAATTTGCATTCTTTAAAGTGAAAGCAAATTCTGGCTAGATAAGGACAGTATATTAGCGAATTTTTAACACCTTTGTAAAATTAAATCATTGAACGGTCAACATTATTTTCCAAATGCGCAATCTTTTTAATTTTAAACTGCTCTAATAGTCTTCCCAGTCTTTATTTTATATAAGCAAATCAAAAGTATTTTCATGACTGTTACTTGCACCCTTATCTTTTAAGGTAAGTTTCAATAATTAAAAGCTCACCTTGCATTTTCGAATATAGGACTTTAAATTACAGCATATATATTATATGTAAGCCAAGAGTTCAATTAGAATGCAATGAAATATATGTGTAAATTAGAAATAGCATTTTTAACTTTTAATTTATGTTTCCAGCGTTAGGTTTTTATTTCATGAAATTAAATTACTACTTTACATATTACTTCTTATTTTGAAAATCTGAAAAACTATTTTGTTTGATTTTCTATTGTATGAACGTTTTATACCATATAAATAGTGATTTACAGCCTATTATAAAAGTACAAGGGAATTAAATTTTTATGGATTTGTTATAACTGCAAAGTATAATTTAAAAATATCGCATTGTATAAAAGTCAGGAGTTACTCAATTTTAGTTTTCCAGTCTTAAATACTAAAAGGTTATATGCATTTCTTAGTCACATTGTCACGAAGAAATTTATGCAGCGTTTTCTTTAAACCCCTGCTAATTTAGATATGAATTTTACTTAAGTTTCTACGAGAGTACAGAAGATCTCGTAGCATTCACTATTTGAAATCATATTATCGCAACACTGCAATAATTTAAGATATTAATACGCTTATATGTTGCAGAGTACCTATTCGGATAAAAAAAACGACGCCTGTAATGAATTTAAAATTTTCAAATCGAAAAGGTTATAAAATACTTTTTGATAAATTGCAAATGACTGTGCGATAATATAAATAGTAATATAATTAATACAGAAACTGCTATCTTAACAACTACAAGCAATTTTTATAATTTAGTTTTTCTTGATTATAATGCAGCAAAATCCTCAGCGATATTTGTAAAATCTATTTGATCACTTAATTCATATCCTTCAGAACAAAGTTTTAAGTTTGAAAGCTTTACTTGACTAAGTGAAGACATAATTTTTGACTGCTATCTGGAAGCTAATCTTGGGGCAAGCAGCAAGAGCTGGAAACTTTAAAAATATTCTTATTGCAACTTCCGAATTCAAATACGATTGAATTAAACGGTATTTGTGAATTAACATTCCAGATATATGAACAGCGTAGATTTTAAAAAGATATATTTATAATAAATTTTGTATCATTAACATCATTCGGATATTTAAGTTAAAAGTTTGATTTAAGTTTTGAAATTAAAGAGTCTATTCATTTCTTTCAGTTCTACAACGGAAAGTAAATGTTCTTCTAAAACACTAGACATTTTATCAAATAATTCTTCACGCATTATAATAAAACTTCCTTTTTTTGTCAATTCAATTGCTATATTCACCTTTAACGCTAAATTTTCATGCTTCTCAAAAGTATTTTTGCTCAACTGATGTAAAAAAGAGATAAGTACTCTATTATGTTTTTTATCTGCTTAGCTCAGTATGATAAAATAACTGAAGAGCTATCCACTCAAGGGAAAGCATGCCTTTATGGAAGACTTTCTAAGGCAGCTTAGCTCATATTCACATTATACATGAGAAACATCAGGTAAACCTAAGCCGCCAGCCTGCTCTCTGAGATTTGAACATGCGTTAATTCATCTATTAAGCATACAGCTTTATGTACAATTACAAATTTCGATTTTAATTATTTATTTATTTGTTCTGTTTCTTGCAACATTAAATTCCGTTTAGATAATGGACATAAATTTTTTAAGCTGATTTGCTTCAAGATCCTATTATTTTCAACGCTTTCTCATTTAATGTCTCATAGAAATTTGATATATTTATACAAAACTTAGGCAATAATAGCCTGTTGATATTTTTATAAAAATGTAGTACTGATTTTTCTATTACACTTTAAATAGTAAATCGTTTTAAACTGTGAACAATTAAATAAGTGTTTGAAGTGAAGCAGTCGATGATTACCTCTCTGAGGGAGTGATGACTTCATGAAGAACTTTCTAAAGGAGCTAAAGAAAACTAGAAATACGTTCACGCAAATCAGCCTGAAGTTGAACCTGGATCGCTCAACTTGTATACAGAATTCTTGTCTATTTATGAGCAAGTAAGCCTTTGATTACAACTATTCCCTAAGAACCTTAAATAATTACCGAATATTACGGACTTTTCTGGTCACTTTGATTTTGTTTTAATTATTAATTTAAGTATTGGCAACGTCAATAACTCTGAAATAATTTTATTACCACAAGTACAAATCCTTACAGTCCCTCAATATAATTGCTTACCATGTCTATCACCTTCTTCCAAATTACTGACAAATTCAAGCTCCTAAAATTGAATATTTTATTTTTAGGAAGATTCGTGAATAAATTTCTGCTGATACAATGATTCCTATCAGCTGATTTTCGGCTTTACATTTTGAAAATAAACATCTATACTTCTAATTTAAGTTGCTTTGCAAATGAATCATAAAATATAAAAATATTCTTAATAAAATTTCAAATCCGTATGAGATTTATATGTTATGTAAAAAAAAAAAAAAAAAAAAGAAAAATGCATACTACAGTTTCATTTAAGCTATGCATATGCCTTGAATTTTAAACTACCTTTACATGGACACTCAGTTTTCTTAAAAATAATATATTGTAGTTGTAGCTTGCTGTTTGAATAATATAAGTTCATTATTTTATGTATATGTAAATATTACCAAATATTTTTCGACGAAAGGAAAAGTAGAACTTCTTCCTCTAATAAAGATTACATACTTTATTCTTTTAAAGAAAGAGCAATAAAAGCGCATAGAAAATTTTGAGGAGTGTTTTTACTAATAATTCAGACATTTTCTTTCATAACCACATATATCTCTCCTAATTTCTACGAAGAAGTGACATGTTTATTCGAAGATTAAGTAGGAATTTTAGGGTGCTGGAAGTACTTTTTACTTAATATTATAAAGAAAACTGCTTATAAACTTTAAAGTTAAACCCATTTCAACAATATAGAATTGATATTTCCGCCCCCCCCACGCAGACTGCAGCTATATTTTGAGACAGCTAACACATCCATTTCAGCTATTAACTGTTTTTATGCGCTTAAGTTATATTTCCACTAAATATTAAAAACTGCTAACAATCAATGAACGTAATGAGAATAAGCTATAATCCCTTAAGAGCTTGTTTGATTTAAAGACCCTAAAAGTATGCAAATAAAATGCTTTTAAAATATATTATATGTCAAGAGCTATAAAATATTCTAAAATCCCACATATATACTTTATTGCTAAATGTTTATTATTAGCAATACGTTGCGTTTTAATGCAAAATATTTATGGTATTTTGGTATGACATTTCTAACTATTAAATATGGTAGTTTAAGCAGAATAACTTATTGACTTTCTAATTTTAATGTTTTCTAAGTTCAGAGTTTTGAAGGGAACATCCTGAAGTGATTTCCATCAACAGATCCCTCGCGTGATTAACTTACATTGCTTTATGATGTGTGTATAAATTTTAATAGCTGATGAAAGGAAAATAAAGTATACACAGCCCGTTGTTGTTGTTTGCTTTCGAACTTAACTACAACTCATAAATTTACAGGAAAGACTTAAAACATCATTAGGACCTATAATTAATATTTTCTTTATACCTTCAGTTATTCAATTCACCGTTGAATATAGCACTCACACATTTCAAATGTGTGACTTCCATTAAACGCAAATTCTCCCAATAAACGAATTAAAAAATATTTATAAATGTTTGTTAGGTTGAAAAGTTCCCAACGATTTTTTTCTCTTTCGTAAAACTGGGTATGCTAGAAATATCAAAAATGAAAGTTTTTGTAGTTAGTTATGAATGCTTTGATTTTACGTTGATTCTAGTTTATTTTATCTTTTATTATAATGAAATGGACATAAATGTATTACAAAAATTTCTATGTTAGATAACCAGTGTAACCTCAGAAACTTGTTTTCAAGAATTTGAAATTTATTCGGGTTATTTTTCATCCCACTGGCCTCCTTGTAGCCTTGAGGTACTAGAAAGGAATGGAAAATCTTCTGAATAATTCCATAGGCTTTACCTTTGACATTATTAACATGCGTTGATCATGTCAGGAATCGATTTAATGTTACTCCTAAATACTTGGCTGAGTTAATGACAGAAACCTGCTTTCCAAAAAGAATTAATTTGAAATTTAAGGGTTCTTTGATATTGCATCCGCTTGTTATTAGGATCTGTTAATTTTTCGGGTAATTTCTTCTTTTCCATTTCTTACATTACAGCCAGGTCGAGAGCGAAGCAGGCTACCATGGTGTTATGATCGTCAAAGAATTTTGGAACATCATTTGAGTAGATCAGGTACAGGAACGGCCTGAGGATAGACCCTAGCCGAAAACTGGCGTAGAATAGATGATGATTTGAGGTGACGTCTTACCGACGAAGCCCTATTCTCAAGGAATGATTCTATGATGATTGCTTTTTTCGAGGGATATTCATCAAACAGAAGAGAAGAAAGGTGTACTTAAA